CACCATTTGTTGAAGATGCTATCCTTCCTCCATTGCCTGCCTATCCTCCCTTAGTGTGCGTCATTGCCCCTACCAGGTGTCCCGGGTCATTATGTAGCCTCCCGTTAAAGATGTTTACATTGAGCCTTCGTCGACATCAATCCCTTCACTTGTGCCTTAGGAGCATGCCAGAATATAGATCCTGAAGCTCATTTCAAATTCTGTTGCTTATTTTACCTAAAATAAAAACAAGTCAAAACCATGTTTCTCAAGTTCAAGTGATGTTAAAAAAAAATCCTCCAAAATTTCTAGGTTGCATAAGCTTATTTTTAAGTTCATTTATTAAATATACCTAGAGATGAACTGAGATTAAAGACTTCATGCTTATGTAACCAAGGCCCAAATAAAAACTTTATAAATTAAATATAAATGAAAGTACAAAGCCAAAGCATGATATTAATACAGAAGGTGCTGTCATTTTGCTGACACCTAACAGGGCCCTGACTCGTTGGCACAGGCCCTCCACCCCTGCCCACCACCCTGGGGAGAGGTCTCTGGCATCCACTGCTTCTTCCCGCGCCTCTCCCCTCAGGCCCTCAGCCTAGAGGGCCAACCCGCCCCTGCTGGCCATGCCTCCTTCACCCACTCTCTGCCCCTGTTCTTTTTGGTTCATTTCAGAAAACTCATCAATGGCTACTTGCTCCCAAAAAGGTTTAAAGTACAGAACTGACTTTGCATAGCAGCTCTTGGTCAAACTGTAGCCAGTCCGAGGAGCCAGGATGTGCGTTTACTAACTGTTCAGATGAGCATCAGAAGAACAAGCCCACAGTGCGCAACGTCCCCAGCAGACCTCCACCCTCAAGCATTCGTGGCCGCGGCTGGAGACACTTGGCTCTAGGACAGTCTCTCTCTTTAAGGATCCAGTCTCCACCTCTACAGTACCAGACGCGCCCGTGGCAACTAATTCATTGTGTTTTCCACCAAAATATTTGCCTCAGGATTTTCATTTATTTTTTTTAAATAGGAAATGTTTTGCACTACCTCCATACACATTTATGAGCCACTTTCCGTGCTGTTAGATACTATATAATCTCAAAGGCTAAAACGATGTTCCATTTATGGCATCTTTCGTGACTATAAAATTAAAAAAATTAGAACTAACCTGGTATTTTGGGGTCATCCAGAGCCAATGGGATAGAGAAAGAGAGACATGCACAGGAAAAGATTCATTAGGATAATTAGCATCCGTGATATGGAAGCCAAGAAGCGTCACTCTGCGTCTCACATGGAGCTGAAAACCAGGAAGGGTGTTGTAATTCAGTCTAAGTGTGATGGCCCGAGAGCCAGGGGTGCAGGTGCAGGGCTCTGGCTGGTGAAAGTCCCAGAATCAGCACCTGAGAGCCAGGTGCTCTAAAGTTGGAGGCAGGGGAAGGTGGACCAGGACCACTCACCCTCCCTGTCTTCCTGCTGCTCAGGCCTTAGTGCCCACGCTCCCCAGTGAGGGTCATCTTCTTTGTTCAGTCCACCAGTCCAAGGGCCAGTTAATATCTTCCAGAAACACCCTCAGAGACACACCAAGAAATAGCGTCTTACCAGCCATCTGGGATCCCAGACTGTCCCACCAAGTGTACACGTGACATGAATAGTCACAGCAGCCACAGTCCTCTTTGAAGTAACACGCACAGTGCTGTAAGCCTGTCTGAACACTCCTGCCCCCGCCAGGAACTCTCCACTTCCCTGTTGGTTTAAATCCTACCTCCCAGAACAAGGCACAAGTCAGGCCACTCTTGCAAAGGACATCTCCATCCACGTGGAGACCTGTTGGTCATTCCTCAGCCTGTCCTCGCCCGAACACCTCAGTCCCTGCCCGCCATCTTACATGGCAGTGAATGAAGGGCGCACCCAGGGAGTTCCCCGACGTGTCCTGCCTACGGTCCAAGTCCTTGACAGAGCCTTCGGCAGGTCATGCAGTGCACAGGTCTCCTCTCAGAGAAGCGGGGTTTTATGTCAATTTTGTTTCTAGAGTTCAAAGTACAGAGGTGACCTAACACTGAGGGATAATTCTGTTAAAAAGACAGATGGAGCACATGCTCCTTGATATCAAGCATTTACAAATTCATGCGTCTGTGAATGTGAGTTTACGTGTGATTGACTCAGGTGGCTCCTTCACTTTACAACTGAGGAAAGGACATGAGGAAGGCCTGGAGAGGCAGGGCTGGACTGGCAGAGCTCGAGAGTGACAGGCAACAGGCGGCCACAGGGCTCTCCCCAAGTCCTTCCAGAAGGACCTTCCCAGACTCGAGTGTGGGATCCCACGGGTCTTGACGTGGCCTCCTGTGAGACCAGGTGAGGTCACAGGCTCAGGGAATCCTGCCAAGCCAGCATGCCCAGCTTCTCAACTCAGCGAGCAGGACCCTGGCCCTAAGGGTGGAAACCCAGTAAGATCAACAAGTGAGAACCTGCACTTATTGATCTTACTGGGCCCACAAATCCTGATTCCGCATGAGGAACAAGGGACACATTGGGAATGTTTCAAGGACCAGAAATGGCATGATATCCCCAGGCCCCACACTGTGCAGGTCACATGGAGAGGAGAGAAGAGTCAGGCAGTGCCAGAGCCTCACGCAGCCTGTCCCGAAGAGGCAGAGCTACAGCCGGGATGGGGCCACAGCTCCTTTGAAGATGCGCCTCTCTGTGGCTGGTTAGACAGGTGTTCTCAGGGACACACTTCACCCTCCCAGACATCAGCCCCGGTTGTCGACTGTCATAACTGTGTGGAAGAACATTCTAGTGCACGGAATGCAAATGACATTTTTGTGATTAATTCTTCTTCCCAACAGCTGGCTGTCCCAACTCCTTGATTAAAGAGCTCCACCACTTCAGGATTCTTGGAGAAGAGCAGGTGAGTTACCCTCTCCAAAGCTGCATCCTGTGTCACGAAAGATAGACGCTAATGAGACAGTTTGGGCTCCCTGCAGGGAGGCCTAGCGTGTCTCCTGACCCAGGGCGCCCTGAGCGGGGGAGGAAGCCAGGCTGGAGATGTGCGGGGTGCTTCTCTCCTCTTCTATCCATCAGACCTGACAGGTTATTAATTGGTACATCTGCTATCTGCCAGAGCATTTCATCTCAAGACTTGAGCCTTGAGCAGGCTCTGCATAGTGGCAGATGAGCAAACAAATAAATGCGGAGATGAATCATGCCTTAGGAATCAATAGTCACAGACATTTCCGATGTGACATCTGGGTGCACGTGCAAGTTCCTTTCACCAGATCTCCGTCCTTTGTGTGCGTCAACTGTGTTTTACAGCAGCCCCTTCCTGTGTGGGTGTGTGCATGTGACCTACAGAGGATGGCCCCTTAAAGGACAGATTATTTCAGTGCTCTGTTGTGCTTAGTAAGGAACACCAGTTTTAAAATAGAGGCACTAAGAAAATACTTTAGGGTGCTAAGTGGATGTGTATGTACACATGTGTATACTTTTTACTACTTAAAAAAATTGATTATACATGGCCATAGCTTCCACGTCTGCAGAGTCAACCAACCACAGATTGAAAATATTTTGGGAAAAATAAATAGCAATCAAAAATAAAATGAGCTAGATGCAGGGGGCACACCTATAATCCCAGAGACTCAGGAGGCTGAGGCAGGAGGATTGCAAGTTCAAAGCCAGCCTCAACAATTTAGCAAGGCCCTGTCTTGAAATAAAACATAAATGGCTGGGGATGATCCTCAGTGGTTAAGCACCCCTGAGTTTAAACCCTGCCCTGGAGTCCTGGAATCAATCCTGCATGGATACTGAGGGACAACTGTGCATCTCTTCATCCTCGTGTGGAATTAGGGGCTCTGCATTAGGGGTCAGGTGGTTAGTTTACTCTTGAATACTTACACCAAGTGGTAGGACTTGTGTCTGTTGACCTATCTTACACTTTTGTCACCGAATTTTACTGGCAACGATTCTCTCCGCCTACGGTGACCAGACGGCGTGCAAGTGGGGTCATGGCGGCCCAGTTTTGTCCGTGAGTCTTCATTTGTTCGTGCTTTTGTCTGTGTGGGCGTGCTGAAGAATGGCTGCCAGTTTCCAACACGAGCCTACAGCCAGGAAGGAGCTGGAAGGGTCAAAGGCTGGGACGACGTCCTTGGCCTTGGGCTGGCCAGCTGCTGTTTGCCCCCTTCCTCTCCCACACTGTGAGCTCTGGGAAGAACAGGCCTAAACGGTCCTGCAAACACAAGCTCCATCAAGCTGGGGATGTGGCGCGGGGTAGGGCATTGGGCCAGCGGTCTGATCTGGGTACAGGGACAGAGGGGTGAAGAAGTCCCCCCAGACTCCTGTTCTAGCGGGGAAGGCTCTGCTGTGTTCTACACTGCTCAGCACCGCCGTGGAGAAGCAAGGACCGAGAGAGCTGAGATGCGGGGGAGCAGGGGACATTCCCTGAGGTGGTCAGGGGAAGGGTCACCACTCAGGTGGTAGGGACAAATGACCGGAAGGGCCAAGGGAAACATCGTGGCACCAGCTGGGAAAGGAGATTTCCAGAGAGAGGAGAGGGCGGTGCAGATTGCCTGGAGGGACCACGTGCCTGGCCTCTTCAAACAGTCCTGGCCCAGGGTGATGGGCTGGGGACGCTAAGCAAGAGGACGAGCTGTAGAAGGGGAGTGGAAAGAGGGCCAGCTGCGCGCAGGGCTGTGGCAGGCGGAACCAAACCCAGGCAACCGCCACCAACTTGCAGCCAGGAGGCCAGCGCCTCGGGGAGGAGAGGCAGCCGTGCCCCATGCTCATCCGGTGGGACCAGCCTGGAAGGAGGCCTGGAATTTGCAAGTGGAGGTCACTGGTGGCCTGGACCACTGGGCACCGTGGGCTTGCCATTGGCAGGCTGGCGGGGGCGAATCCTCCCTGGAATGGGCTCACATGCCGGGGAGAAGAGGAACAGGAGGCAGCAAATGCAGACGACTATTTTTTTCTTTTTTAGGAATTTAGCTGTAAAGGAATGAGGGAGCTGTGGGTGGGATGTGGGATCAAGGAAATTTACTTTTTTCTTTTTAAATACTGGGAATCAAGCCCTGGGCCTCCTGCATGCTAGGTGAGCGCTCTACCACTGAGCTAAACTCACAGCCGCCAAACTGACTTCTTAATGGCACAATTACAGCACATTATGTCCTGAAGGGTGATTTGGTAGAGGAACAGAGAGATTGCAGACGCAAAAGAGAAGCAATGTCTCCTCCGGGCCACAGGCCTGGCCTCAGAGGAGAGGGCAGGCCTCGCCCCTGGCAGCAGCAGGAAGGCAGCGTGTGGGCACAGGAGGCGCAGCGTGGGAGCTGGGGTGGATCCTGCACAGACCTGGGCTGGGCTTCTCTTTTCTCTGTGAAACAGTGAGCTAGGCCATCAGCTGAGTGAGGACAGGGAAAGGGTTTACCGAGGGAGGAAGGGCAGTCAAGGTCATCGGGGAGGATGGTACTGAATAAATTTGGGAAATGGATGGATCAGGAGGAAGATCAATAGCCTGATGTTTTGCTGTCACATTCAACCGCGGTGGGTGCAGATTTAACCAGCATCAGGTTCTGCCATCCAAGTATAGCAAAGTAAGAGTGCACAAAGGGAAGGGTGGACCCCAGGGAGTGATTATAATGATGGCCCATGAGATTTCAGCTGGGCAGGCAGAGCCTTGAGAAAGAATGGGGGGGCAATCAGTTACAGATCCCAGTGGGTCCAGGGAATGTTTGGAGTTTGGTATTAGAAGAGACTAGTTGAAACAATATGTACTAGCCAGAAAATGTGAAACTTGAAATTAAGGGTGTGTAAGGAGGGCCACGGTCAGCAATGACCAGGTCCAGGGATGTTGGACCTTAGCTAGGATGAAGGACATGATGACTGAAGTAGAGGTCATGAACTTGAGAAACCAGGGTGCTGGAGGAATCACCCATGCAGACACTGAGCTCACTCGGAACCCTCACTGGAGCAAACGTGGAGTTATGGTGAGCCAAGAACTGAAGGTGTAGGGGACAGTGGGGGGTACCAGCAGCTGACTGCAAAAGGAGACTTAGAGTGCAGCGTGGCCTGATGGCTTGAATCTGAAAGGTAGAGGTGTCTAGAAGGTGCAGAAGAAAGACGTCCTACGTGGTAAACGGCTGAGAAGTGCTTAGTGGCATAAAGAGTACAACAGCAAGACTTCCCAGGACTGCAGGGGGAGCCGTTTCAGTTAGCAAAGAATGTAAGGACAACCAGGAGGAGGTCGACAGCAGTCCCAGGGCGGTCACTGCCAGCTGCCCAGGAGCTCCCCCAACATGGGACCAGGGGATCAGGGGGAGGACAAGTGAAAAATGGGGGGCGGGGAAGTGATGCACAGAGGCATTTGTGGGTGTGGGGTCATCCTGGAGAGTTGGCACAAGTGTCAGGGACTCCATTGGTAGCTGACATAAAACAGGACATGGCAGGATATTTATATCCTGATGATGCATTGCAAGACCCAGAGGCCTCCAGGCAGATGGCCGTGTGGAGAGGAAGCAGAAGGCTCCAGCACCCCTCTCCTGCTGTGGGCGTGGGCAGTCACTGGCGAAACCCAGGCCTCACTGAGCGCTAGAGGCAGCTATATTACATTTTTATATTAATGTAAGTTGTAAAAAAAATATCCTTGACAATTCATTTTTGTCTCAATAAGTGGCTTTTCCTTTTGCATAAAAAGAAGAGCACTGTTCAACTATCTCTCAGAATTATTGTAAATAAATAAGGCTGCAAGGTAAGCTGTGAATATCGTGCTCCACTAAAATATTTCTGATTTTAAATACTGTTTGCCCCCCACCAATAAATTGAAGTACTAACAACAAAATAGATATCAAAGTTAGTGTCATGTTCATGTAGAAAACGGATTTATAAAAACCACACAGATACTAGTTAATCACTGAATTCATTGCTGGATGGTAGAGGCAAACGCCAGCTACCTGATTTCTTTATAGGTGATTATTTTCCATTTTTATTGATCTTGATTTTGATCAAGACTGATTTGATTTTTTGACATTGGATTAAAGATAAATCATTAAATATTATAAACTCTTAACTTATAAAATAAAATTCAAAATCTATGGAATTTAAAATGATACATTTATTTTAGCTTCTTATCCCTGTCTCTGAGAAGATTCTTTGTGTTGACAATTCACATTCATAACGCATCTTCACCTCTTTCTCCAAACTATATGGCAAAGTTATGAACACATCACAGATAAGTCAAGCCACCCCAAAGTCCTGGGTGAGCCTAAGAACGCACGTGATCCCGCGAAGGCCGTGAGGTTTGGCGCTTTCAGAGGGGCCACCCTTCACACTGACCTCCCTGATGGTTTTCAGAAAATGATCTTCATTCCTCCAACAAATGTGCTGAACACCTGTTTGCACTGTTGTTGGTCTAAATAGTACACAGGAAATCACAAGGACTAATCATGAGAGAGCTAATATGGAAACATGGTGGCTGAGGTGTCCCCTGCTTTGGAAAAGGAGTCAAGAAACCCTGAGGCCAAAGATCCAGGAGATACCAACTACTGAGCAATCCCAGGTAACAGGAGGAGAGAAGAGAACAAAGCACATGTCAAAGAGGAGCCTGGTCTATGCCACTGAACACGACCAGTGTGCTTAGAAAACATGGCACAGAGGCCATGGTCAGCACCTGGGGTTTTATTCTAAGTCCAATGGGCGGTCCTTGGAGGTTTAAGCAGGATACTGATGTTACAGAAATTACCCTTTAAAGACCACCAGTCTCCCTGCAACATGGAGATGATGTGCACTAAAAGGCTGGAAGCGGGGACAGCCAGAAGTGACCACTCAGGGTAAAATTAAAGGATTCGGTCACTGATTGGCAGGGGGTCAGGGAAACAAAGTTCTGCTTTACTGAGACGGGCGAAATGGTAGAAAGGGGAGAACAGAGGCAGGGAACACAGGGTCCACTTCTGAGTGCGTCTGATGTGCCTGAAGCATTGAGCTAAGTTGGTGAATTGGAGCACAAGGGGTGGGGGGGGGAGGTCAGAGGTCAGAGGTGGAGAGATAAATGCAGAGTCCTCAGCAGGGGGGTGGTACAAATCCACAAGATGGACAGAGAACATAAGAAGGAAGGAACCATAATGCACATCCCCTGAGGAGCCACCAGCCTTTGGGAGCTGAGCAGGAGGGTGGCAGCCAGCACGGGCACCCAGCAAGGAGGGGAAGACCCGGAGCTGTGAGGTGTTGAAGAAGCAGGAGAGGAAGCCCTGCCGGAAGGAAGGCATGGGTTTGGAGTGGAGAAGCTGGAAGGACGAGGTCAGAACAGTGCCCTTTGCCTGTGAAGACAGACAGATCACGGCGACCCTACTTTGGAGGAGTCCTTGGAGATGGAGGCAGATTCTCACGGAATGAAGCGTGAACAGAGGGGAGTCGGCTCCTCCTGAAGTTTTGGTAGGAAGAGGAGTGGGAAACGTGGCCGTGGAGGGGGGTTCTTCCGACATTGCAAAGGCTGGAGCTTGTTCTGCTCACTGGCAGGAGCAACAGAGATGGGTTTCTTGGTGACTCAGGAGAGAAAGACGATTGCTGAAGAAAGGGAGAGGCTTTGAGCAGGGCTTACACCCAGGACTGCCGGAGGGATGGGGGCTCAGCGGGAGCAGGGCAGCTGTCTTCGCCGTGAGAGGTGGGCTCCTCCACGCCATGGCTCCATGGCTCCACGGCTCCACGAACGCAGGCACCTTCTCCACTGCGTGTCACCCTTCCTTAAAGAGGGCTTCACACGTACAGGATGGTTGGTAAATATTTGCTGCATAAACAAGAACATCATTCATGGCTCCTGTCCTGAGCCAACCGTGAAGTAGCTTGTGCAGATGAAAACAGGAGGGAGATGGGATGTGAGCGATTTGGCAAGAAAAGAGAGGAATCATGCCACTGGAGAAGTGCGATAAATCATGAGGTAGCTGCACGTGCCCATTTGAAATCTGATCAGCAGTTGAGAAAGCGTGTCTAGTGATGGAGAATCTACTGTCATCTGCATTCAGGGCCAGGGATCTGCCCAAGGAAGGTGGAGGCAGGGTTTCCAAGTGTGGTTTGTGCCAGTGACAGATGCAGAGGACCTTGGAGATCTTCCCAGGTCCTGTGTATGTGGTGGATCATGGAGTCTGTGCAGACCAGGAAGGAAGGTAAACTTGAAGACAGCGGTGGCCAGGGAGAAAGGCTGGATCAGTTGATGAGAAGAAGTCAAAGAGTTCAGCAGTGTCCACCGCTGGACAGAGTTCTGGAGAGATAGAGACGGGAGTTAGAATGAGAAGGTTCAGAACTGGGGTTTCGGAGGTAATGCGGTTTCTCAGGATGATAGGCCTGAGGAGGAGCCATAGAGTGGAAAAGGCGAAGGTTTTTCATCTCATCGTAGGAGATGAGAAGGTTAGACTGGACGAGCAGGAGGAGAGGTGGAGGCGCCCAGGCCCCAGAATGGCCATGGAAACAGGAGCCCAGGTGGAGACTGAGCTGGGAGCTGCTCTCCCAAGAGCGAGGGGCTGGGTGGAGACCCTGGGGCTTCAGGGAGGAGAGGGAGGTGAGCAGCCAGGCAGCACCGGCTCCAGAGAGGGGGACTGAGGGCTGAGGAGACAGGAGACAAGCCTCTGGCCTCCAAATATGTGTAGGCGAAACTGAAGGCAGCCCTGTCTCGGATCTGCAAGGGAGATAGTTTCTTTTAACTCAGAGAGAAACACTAGGAAAGGGAGGAGTAGAAACTGGTCGGTGCTGGGGACGTCCAGCCCCACAGGGGACGGAGCGTTTGGGTGAGAAGAGTGCGGGGAGGCTGGCTGGGAGGGAACAGGGCTGTGAGGCGGGGCGTGTTCCCTTGACCTTGGCAGGGAGGCAGGGACACAATCTGGCCACCTGGCTCTTCTCCTCTCAGGTGTGACTCTTAGCATCAGGAGCCTTCATCCCAAAGGTCTTAGTCCACTTTTGTGTTGCTGTGAACAAGATATCAGAGAAGAACAACCTAGAGGAGGAAAATTTTATTCGGGGCTCACAGTTTCAGGGGTCTCAGCCCATGCCTGGCTGACTCCGTTGCTCTGGGCCCAGGGTGAGGCAGCACAGCATGACAGAAAGGACCAGGGGAGGAAAGATGTCCGCTCACGGTGGGGTCAGGAAGCACAGAGAGAGGGAAGGGGCCGCAGGGAAGATGCAGCCTTCCAGGGACCACCCCCAGTGACCCCCTTCTCTAGCCACATCCCACCTGCCCACAGTTACCTCCCAGACCCTTCAGTGACCCCTTCTCCAGCCACATCCCACCTGCCCACAGTTACCTCCCAGACCCTCCAGTGACCCCCTTCTCCAGCCATCCCACCTGCCCACAGTTACCTCCCAGACCCTTCAAACTAGCTTGGACTGATCAGGTTATAGCTCCCACAGCCTGATCACTTCACCTTTGAATATTCCTGCATTAACATAAGCGTTTTGGAGGGACACCTCACAGCCAAACCATAATAGGTTTCCTCAGCATTATAGGCTGATGCATGTCAAAGTTCCAGATCGTTATAAACGTAATGTTACCTAATCCAATCCAAAAAACATTTTTGCAAGCTATTTGGGTCACCCAAATTCTAATCAGCTCCTTAAGTGTTCAGAGGAACTAGCAGTTCATTGCCCCTCCCGTAATCTCACACCAAAGACAGGAGGTTGCTGTTCCCCTCCACGGGCCTCAGAATCACCTGGAAACCTGCAGCCCTGTGTCAGGACTGGGTGAAGAGTTTCACCCACAACAGAAGGGAGGGGCGTGAAAGTGCCGAGGAGGGGGAAAGTCCCAGGGAGACAGAGGAGGGGCAGGTGGTGAGGACCCACTACTTTCAAGAAGTCAGATGCAGACTCCATTTCACTAGAGGGCGAAGTTCTTGGACCCACGGACCCCGGGACTGCAGTGAAGGACTAATGGCCGCGCCCCTCTCGGCCCTGCTGGCTGCCACAGCCCCTGAGGACAGAGAGCATTAAGCTCTGGCTCCCGCTCTCCCCAAGTTCCCTGGGCTAGCAGGGTACATGCCCTCAGCCTCCCCTTGCAGGACAGCTGTGCCCCATCAGCGACAGGGACACAGAGGCCAGTTGGCTTGCACCTCCTTCCAGAAGATTCCACAAGCCCTGGAAGTCGGGCTACTTTCTGGCATCACGGCTTCCGCAACGGGCTTCCTAAATTGCAACCCAGGGTGCGTCTGCAGCTCCAATTATTTTTTAGGTGCCGTTTGATCTGTTCCCATCGTGCATTTGATTTCTCCCTCAAATGATTGTTTTTCCCAGGCAGTGAGCAAAGTCCAGCCCTTTCTCCAGCCAACTCACTTCATCAGCAGCCGACAGATGTCCAGGGATGAAAAGAACATTATTAGCCATGGAACAGAAAATAAAAACAGCGGTGCGACAGGAGCTGCCGCCGCAGAGACGGCCACTAACACTCTCGGGCAAACAACCTGCAAATAAAGAAAAATGAGATGACGATTACTGACAACTTGAGGAGTAATTGTTTTAGAAAAAAGAAATTCTAGTACACACAAGGGCTAGGACATTGTCCGTATAGGAAACAGAAATATTTTCAACCCAACCTAGCTCCTCTGTAGACTTGTTCAGATTTTTTCAACCCAAAGAGGAAGGTCTGTAATAATCTGGTTTTCATTAGTTTCTAATTTGTGGCCAAGGAAAAGCAAATGAATTTTTTTGCTGTGTGTGTATGTGTGTGTGTGTGTGTGTGTGTGTGTGAGAGAGAGAGAGAGAGAGAGAGAGAGAGAGAGAGAGAGAGAGAGAGAGAGAGAGAGAGAGAGAATTTAAAAAAAGGGGGGTGGAGGTCGGGGGCACTGTGGGGGGCCTCTGGAGCCAGCTGAGTTCCGACTGGGTCTTGGTCCTACGCTGGCCCTCAGCCACAGATCCTGCTTCTGTGCAACCCCGCAGTCTCATCCTCTGCCTGGGGGTGGGAAGCACTCACGAGTGGGCACCGCCTTGGCACAGCTGTGGGCTCCGCACACTCCCTCGGGGGCAGTGGCTCTGCTCAGGGCTTCTGTGCTCCCTGGAGATTGAGGGAGAGGCCCCGGAACCCAGGTGCTTTGGGCTCAGAGTTAAGGGAAGCCAGAATTCCGGGGGCAGACAAGGGAGGCCAAGCGCTGTCCCTGAGTGCCCCCAAGAGGATGCTCTGGAGAACACCAGGCAGTACAAACCCCCTGTCCCCGGCTCCAAGGACTCAGAGGGGCCAGCCGCTCCTGGACTGCTGACAAGCTGTGACTCGTTTTGAGAGACATTTGCCAGCTTTCCCAGGTTTTATTTTACTTAATTTCCCTGTACTTCAATTTCTTTCTTTTTTTTTTTTTTTTGCCGTTTTAGATTTTAGATTCCTTCCTGCTTCCTTTTCCTATGAAAGCATACAAATGACACAGCCCGGGAAGCCAGGTGACCCTCCTACAGGAGAGGGTGTGTGAGGCACAGTTCCTCCCTGCCCAGCAGGACCCGCAGGTGACCACCCGTGTTCCTGTGTTGGGCTTGATCTGCAGCCAGTGGCCACAGGAGAGGGGAAGCTGCCTGGCCCCTGTGGGGCTTGAACTAGTGACCCCTGCTTCATTACAGAATGATATTCTCCCCAGCCAAGTCTGCTACCTACCTTCAGGCCAACAAAAAAACAGCACCTCGTTCATTATATTCTCCCATGACTCATTATTTAGATTCCTAAAACATGAATTTATGGAAGAATCTATGAATTCTGTACTTTAAAATGAATGTTTCCTATTCTTAAGAGAATCTATGAACATGCGCACATAAAGATGGAATAATTTACTCCTGAAATAAATAAAATATAAAGCATGCAATGAGTCAAGATTTTACCTAGGTAGAGCATAGTAACCATGTATTTTCCACTCTAATCTGATGAAATACAAGAGGAAGATTTTTATAATTATTCCAAGTGCAGAGTAGTATCTTTTGATGTTTATTTTCAAAAATGTTTGCAAATGTTATATAGACAATTCTAAATAATTTTAGTTATCTGTAGATTATCCACTTTATGAAAGCAAACCTAAAATTGTACAAACTAGGTTTGATCAAAGTTTAAATAATAGTTTGACAGGTTAATATTATCCTACATATGCAGCCATGCACACACATTCTCTCCCTCCCCACCCCACCCCCTCTCTCTCTCTCTCTCACACACACACACACACACACACACACACACACAGAGAGTATTCCAAAGGAAAATGATGCTTAAGTGATTTTGGCTAATTATCTGCTTTGAGCTCACTTGAGAATGGATTCCACATAGACCGTATTCTTCCAAGTTGGTTCTGTTTGTAAAATGCTATCCAATACTGATAAGTGAAAAGGCCCTGGAAATAGAAGAACAATGTTTGTTCCTTTCTACCAGTCGGAGCCCATCCATCAATCCCTTTACCACGGCTGCATGATGTACACTGAGGTAAATACAGATGTTCCCTTCTGCTTGGTGCTAATTTGTCACAACTCTTCAAGAAGTGCTCAGTGGCATGCTTGCAGTGAACTGCGTTTTTGTTGCAGTGTGTGGTTAAAAGGAGTCTATGGAAATATGGGTCAAAGCTTGGAAGGAAACTAAAGGAGGATTTTTGCTAATGCCATGTGATTACTTGTCTAAATCATTTCTACAGATTCTAGCACAATATTTATTCTAGGTCAAAAGGTTTTTGTTTTTATTTTCACAATATTTAAAAATGTTATTTTTTCAGAAGGCACCTTTCAGACATTGTGTATGCTTTTGAATCATCAGAAATCACCAGATGCACATGTTAACATATTTGTCTCCCCTTGGAAAAAGAATCGCATGCTCAAATGCTCTTTTATCACAAACAAAATAAATGCAATAGTCCTTACTAACAAATTCTTTAACTAATGGATATTAGTTCTACAAATTCCACTAGCATTTCAACCATTATGAATGAAGTCAGCAAGATGTACGAAGTCTCACTGGACTTTGTCCATTCCTTAACTTCTTCCTAGATAGTAGTAAAGCCAAGTAAATCAAACAGATAAATGATTAGTTGTCAGTTATGGGAGCAACTTATTTTATTTCTTTTATATCTTTTAGTTGTAGATGGGCACAATACCTTTATTTATTTATCTATCTATCTATCTATTTGTTTATTTATTTTTCTGTGGTGCTGAGGATCAAACCCAGTACCTCACACATGCCTGGCCAGAGCTCTACCACTGAGACCCAGCCCCAGCCCAGGAGCAATTAATATAAAATATTTATGTAGGTAAAAACATTCTGAATCCCTCTATTATTAATTCCCATTGCCATTATTTTGTTAGAATTCCTTAACTAAGTAAAACCTAATGGCATTTATTCATCCATTCTACAGTTATTGTATACCAGCTATTGACAAGATATTATGCCAAGTTCAGGGCATGTTAATAGGTAAAGGGATGTGAGGTGCGTGCAGAGAATCTTCAAAAGGCTAAAAAGGACTGGAGCATTTCAGGACCCAAAGAGTCAAACAATTTGATCAGCCAAAGAAACCCCTCAGGACAACATCCCACACCAAGAAGAAATTTTCTTAGAATAGTTAATAGTAAAAAAGAAAATAGAAATTCCAATTAAAAGTGAGAAACCATGGGGCTGGGGCTAGGGCTCAGTGGTGGAGCGCTCGCCTACCACGTATAAGGCACTGGGTTCCATCCTCAGCACCACATAAAAATAAATAAATAAAATAAAGGTATTGTGTTCATCTATGACTAAAATTTTTTTTTAAAAGTGAGGTCCAGAGTTGGGAAGCTGCAGAAAGTGAGCCCATGTAATTTTGAACACCGCCCCAAATCACCAGAATAGGGAAAGCCGCCCTAGAAGCTTCTCCAGAGTCCTACCTCTTTGTGAAGTTCCAGGAAAATTAATTTCAGCTACAACTGAGCAAGATTTCATGGACAACTGAGCAGCCCTAACAGAAAAGAAGTGAAGTGAAATCCCATAAAAAGTTCTTAAAAGGATACAGAGAATGGAGAACAGGATATGAAAGAAGAGCCACAAGACGGAGGAAAAGTAAAACTACTGTTCAGAGCTGCTTCAAAGTGAGCTGCTGTTATGAGTGGAAATAAGTACAAAAGACGGTCTTAACAGAAACAAAAGGGAAAAGGACAAACTTCTGAAAAACAAGTACGAATTAGAAGATTTGAGAGAGCCAATGGATTTAGAAATCAGATAAAGAAGATCCAATGAAGAAACTCATCAAAGCAAGAGAACAGAGCAAACGCTAAAAATCAACTTCAACACAGCCGTCCGCCTAGTAGGCTTGTGGACTGACCCAAAGGTGACGGATTCCAAGGCATATCCCTCTTTTCTCTTTATTGGTTCTTTTTCATTAAATATAACATTAGGATTCATTTTTACCTAATTATAAAAACATGGCATGTAATTTGCTCTGATTCTACTTCCCCTTCCCCTCCCCTTCTCCTGCCTGTTCCCTTCCCTCTACTCCACTCATCTTTCAGCTACTTACTTACAGTGGTGTGGGGGTTGTTTGTTGTGGTTGGTTGGTTGGTTGGCTGGTTGGCTGGTTTTTAGTTAATGGCTTGTGGATATACTTGACGGTGAGATTCACTATGGTATATTCATGTATGCACATAGGAAAGTTAGGTGAGATTAATTCCACTCTTCTTCCCTTACCCAGTCTCTCCTACCTCTTCCTCAGTCCCTTCATCTACTCTTCCAATATTTGTCTATTTTGATGGAATACCCTCAATTCCACCCTACTCCCGTTTTGGACTAGCCTCCACATATCAGAGAAAACATTAAACTTTTGATTTGGGCAATCTGGCTTATTTCACTTAGCATGATAGTATCCAGTTCCATCTATGTATTAGCAAGTCCTTATTTAATTCTTTTTTATAACTAAATAATACTCCATTGGGTACATATACCACATTTTCTTTATCCATTCTTTTGTTGAAGGGCACCTAGATTGGTTCCTAGGTTAGCTATTGTGAATTTTGCTGCTATAAACATTGATCCCTACAGTACACTGATTTTAGGTCTTTTGGATATATAAGAAGGAGTGAGGTAGCTGTGACACATGGTGGTTCTATTCCTACTGTTTCTGCTTTCCAGAGTGGTTGCACAGATTTGCAGTCCAACCAACAATGTATGAGTGCCCCTTTTTCTCCACATCCTCTCCAATACTTATTATTTGTATTCATGGTAACTGCCAATCTGACCAGGGTGAGATGAAATCTCAGTGTAGTTTTGATTTGGAATTTTTTGATAGAGATGTTGAGCTTTTTTAATATATTTGTTGGCCATTTGTATTTCTTATTTTAAGGAGTGTCTGATTAGTTCTTTTTCCCATATGTTAATGGATTATTTGAGTTTGGGTGTTTTTTGAGTAGTTTTTATGTAGTCTGGATATTAATGCCCTATGGGAAGATCAGGTGGCAGACATCTCTCCCCTTCCCAAGGCTTCTCTTCACACTCTTGTTTTCTTTCCTGCGTAGAAGCTTTTTAATTGATGCCATCCACTTATTAATCTTGGGTTTTATTTTTTGTGCTCTGGGAGTCTTATTAATGAGCCAGGCCAAACATTGGAGTGTTGGCCCTACATTTTCTTCCAGCAGTTCAGAGTTTCTGGTCTAATCCTTCGAGTTGACTTTTGTGCAGGGTGAGATAGAGGTTAAGCTTCATTCTTCCACATATGGATTTCCAGATTTCCCAGCACCGTGTTTTAAAAAGGCTCTGTTTCCTCCAACGTATGTTCTTGGCACAGACATAGTTACTGTCTAGTATCAGGTGACTATTTCTGTGGGTTTGTCTCTGTGTCATCTAGTCCCTTGGTTTTCATGTCTGCCTTGGTGCCAGGGCCACGCTCTTTACGTTACCATTGCTCTGTAGAATGAGTTGAGGTCTGGTTTTGTGATGCCTCAGGCATTATTCTTTTTGCTCAGAATTACTTTCTGCATCTCTTATTTTTCCAAATGAATTTTAGAATGACATTTTCTAGTTCTGAGAAGAATGCGATTGGTATTTTGATGGAATTTCATCAAATCTGTATAACACTTTTTTAGTTTGGATATTTTGATGATATTAAGTATACCTATCTAATTATATTGGAGATTTTTCATCTTCATGGTCTTCCCCAATTTGTTTCTTCAGTGTTCCAT